TACATGTAACACCAAAGAATCCTGAAGTTAGGTGTGATGCAAACGAACGAGAATATCACATCATCACGTGCTAAAGTGGGCTTGGATAATGAAGAAGACCGACTCGTGACTTAGTCATCATCGGATTTGTGTTAAGAGCATTGTTAAAAGAACAAATAAGGAAGTTCGTGTTGCAACTTGTGCACAATAAATTGTAAACGTTATGTAGTACCACAACCTTTAGTTTCCATTCTACATTTTATATGGAAGTTCTATTAGTTTAGGCAGAGTGCAGTGCATTCAGGTTTTTTTTTAGTTGAATCTATAAAATAGCACAACCTGTGTGCGGCTTTATCACAATTCATACATTTTTTGCCTTTTTTTTTTTGACGGTTTCGCCGAAGTCTATCGCTATCGGTTATTAATTTTAAGCATTATTAGCGCGCTTATACACTCCTATGACGCAGAAGGGTAAAAGCACTATACCACCAGAGTGTCTAGTTGTAGTTGTTTTAGATGCAACATATCGATTAGAAGACCATTATGAAACTATTTTTGGAACTTATTTGAGGCCGATACTAAAGTAAGGATATAATATATAACTTCGGTTATGTATCGGAACAGTGTTCAAAGACCGTTAAAGGTTTTCACTTTCTGCATTTATCTTAAAAATTTGAGGAATTATGAGGTTTAGGATCTAACTTATCTGTAGCAAACTTATTACTTAGATTAAAAAAAAACTTTGTGTATTTACCTATAAATGTAGACACCTAAAAGCTCCATACGTGAGGGAACAGGAGGATAAAGAAAAGAAAGAAAAAGTGGTGAGTTTGTAACTCAACATACTTTTTTTAAATGCAAATAGTCAGAATAAGAAAGCAAAGACATCATTATATCATTTTGAATATAGCCCGTTTTGAAGTGTGGTCTCGTTACTTTTGGACATTATGAACCTTATTCAACGATACCTGTAAAATCTCATTATTTTGAAAGTTTTACGCGGTTCGATGAGCTAATATCTGAAATAGAGTTTTTAAATGGGGGCATATATGAAAACGCAGTAGCTGAAGGTTTAGTCGCAGCTCTTGAGGTAATGAAATAATAAATAGACTATACTTTATCTATGTGTGTATATATATCGCACAGCGTGTTAAGGATTCTTTTTTCTTCTTCGAGATGTTTGATTTACATAAATCACAAATGGAATCCGATGCACCACAACCGAAAAGACATTGCATTCTTGTGTCCAATAGCCATCCTTGTCCTGATCCTGTTCATCGTAATATAAGTAGTAAGTACGATGAATTTAATATTCAACAAATAGCAGAAGAGATGCAGAAGGCAAGTATACATAAACTAATATAAAATGATTGTCCATTTATACATTATATGTCTTAATAACTTTTATTTATTGTTACCTTAGCAATGCATTTATCTCTCTTTAATAACGCCGGAAAGGGATTTTCCAGAGCTAGAAAAACTTGTTGATAAGGTAATGTCAATACATCGTTATAAAGATTTTTTTTATTAGTTTCTTTTTTTTATTTTAATACATTAATTATAATCTTTTAGGTTAATCAAGATGTAGAAGTTCATAATGCTACCGAGGTCATAATTCCTTCACATGTCGTAAAGTTGGCTAATTTCAAACTTACATTCTCGCAACCAAATGAAGGTAAATTTTCCTTAAAGTTAATTTATCGGGATTTTTCCATGTAACTATAAATTAATTAATAATTGAATGTGTTGCCAATATTTAGCGGCATCTGACAAAAAAAGGAAATGTGAAACTTCAACATCAACAAATGACACAAGCAATAATGACAAGTCACCATCATCAACTTTGACCAGTTCATCACCCGAAAGTAAAAGAGTTAAACTCGAAATACCGGACGAACAATTGCCTAACTCAACAGTTCAACCATCGCTACCCACAGAGACCTCATCTAATCCAAAAGAATCTATGACTATTGCTAAGTCTATACAACCACCGTCTTCTAAACCATCTCAAGCATCTAATCCTACAATTCCAAAAGCTTCTCCTGCTTTGCCATCAATAAATAATATACAACCACAAATGACAATACCACAAGATGCGCTCGGACATGCTGCAAAAACACAACCGTCTGTACAATCAACGACGCCAATACAAATTCAACATCCTCCTCCCGTAGGTACTGCATCAATACAACAACAACCTATACCAATTCCAGGCACTCAACCCATGCGACCTCAAATGCCCATGGGACCAAGAATTCCTGCTGCTGCTATGAAGGCTCAATTTCAGGCTCAATGGAATGCAATGTCTCCAGAACAACGTAGTCAATTCATAACAATGGCGCAAGCAGCGGCAGCTAATAATACTCAAGCTCTACGCCAAAATGGACAGCTGCTTAGAACACAAGTAGCAAATAATACTACGCAACAAATTTTAAGGCAACAAAATCAATTTTTGCAGAATGAATTGGCTGCAAGTCAACAAAATCTTGCCGATGCTATAATGAGAAGTAAGATGACTCAATTGGGGCAAAATAATTCAGCTACTCGTGTGACCGTCGGATCGCAATCTATAAATAATTTTGTGACGTCACCTTCTGCTGACGCACAATCCATAAATTGTTTTGTGACATCACCCACCGTTGGAGGAACTGTAAACCCACAAACTTTAGGTACTGCAAGTACTAGTTTTTCTGCGCCAACTCTTAATATACCAAACATACCAACATCGACGCAAGGTGGACAGATATCTACAACGACTGTCGGAACATCTGTAGGGGTCCAAATTCCCGCAAAAACTATAGCTTCTACAAATCCTAGCTCTAGTGCCTCTTCGAGTAGCAATGGTGCCCAGATATTAGTTGCTAGCACAACCGGTACATCAGTAGGGCAACCTCCAGCATCATTAGGAACAAATATTAATCAAGTTCTCCCGAATATGCCTCCGAAGGTAAACGCATTGTGGAGTGGTCATATTGCATGGTCGGCCAATAGTCAACAGACTGGACTAAAACGCGAGCTTACTTGTCATGTGACTGCTTTTCCTGGCAATCAACGAAAAACTGGTCCATATTCTATAAATGATTAGTAAGGCATTTTTAATAATTACCTATTTTAATTTAATGATTAATATCCGTTTCTGATCTGTCGAATAAACAAATTTATAGCATGAGACAGATTTGGCCTGATAAAATGGAAATCTCCAGTATAAATCTTGCGAAAGACTTTATGAGAGATGTTGCAGCTGTACAAAATCCAAAACCTCATGTTGTTTCGTTTCTACCAACTCCAAACCCCCAAGCTTCTCAAGCATCCCAAGACAATCATAATACATTTATGGTATTAATGCGTATTTTGGATAGTAAAAAATTGGTAAGCATCGTCGTTTTGACATTGAATATAATCTTAAATTAATTAATGATGAGACGCAATTCTATTATATCACATCAGGCTGCTTTCGTACGTTTCTCTAATG